TTAAAAATATAAAAATTATGAAATTTTATATTAAATTAATTATGTTACACCATAGTACTAAATTAATTTATAATTAAAAATTTAAATATTTCATAATAAATATAAAAATATCTAATATTATAAAATATAATTTAAAAATAAATAAAATCAACATAATAATATAAAACCTCAAATTTATATTTTATTTTAAAAAAAAATTATAACCTTAAATAATAAATTAAAATATATAAAATCCATATGATCGTACATACTTTGGCTGGGTGGAGTGCCGTTGACATCTTTCGCGCGGGAAATTCGATAATCAGATTCAGAATTCTTACAAAACGATGCCGTTTGGTTGCTTCTCTCAGGCACAGCCCGTGTAGCCCCTTTTTTTTTTTTTTTTTGGTAAATGCCCGTGTAGCGTTTAAGGGAGTAGAAATCAAAAAATTTCACTCGGAGCCCCAAGTAGAAGCTCGGATTCTCGTCGGAAAACCATGGGCTTGAGCAACGGACCTTGTCCCGTCGATACAGATGCTGTCATTCGATGCTCCGGTTCAGAACCCCAACCGGAATCGAAGGAGGACTTGGAGGAGCTGGAGAGTGATCTGCCGAAGATGGCCCAGAAGATTCTAGAATACAGAGCGACGCTTCAGGATGAGCTCAAGGCCACTCTTGCAACGGTGCTCTCCGTTCAAAGACCCATTTTGCCTGGCATGGACCCTGGACCATCCGAGGAGCGCAACCCAGGTCCGTTCCCATCTAGGGTTTACTGATTTTGACTCTTTTTTGAAATTGGGATTCCTAGATTTCATGTTCTATAATCTGCTTAGAAAACAAATGGAAATGAAAATTTTTGAGCTTATGGAGCTTGAGATTAATCGTCTAGTGTTTAGAAATCAAAACTTTCGCTTGCTTTCCTCCTGTTTGTATTACTACTTCGTTTCAAATTTCCTTTTTCTGCCTTTTTTTTTTTTTTTTTTTTTGAACTGCTTTTTCTGTCTTCGATTGAGAATATTGTTTAATGGTGTTTCCTGCTCATGATTGGAATTTCCATTGTTCTTAGTTTGTTCCTTCTTGTTTCGAGTTGAGGTATTAACCAATAATTTATCTTTACAGATTCAAGACAGGTGGAATCCAGTAGTGAGAATTCAATGGCAGATGGCGAGAAAAGGACTACAGAGAAGATAGTTTTGGTAGAAGACAAAGTTTCTGCCAATGTCACTGCCTTGCAGATTGTTCTCAAGAGGTTGAGAGAGTGTATCTCCAGGATGGAAAAATTAGACTCTTGCAATGGAATCATACATCCAGCTTTTAGAAAGATAAAAAATAGTTGACCAGTTGTGTTGAGTTTGATAGCGAGTGTGGTTCGACACAAAGTAGGTTCCATAATTGACCAAGATCAACATTGAAAAAGCTGGATTTTGTATAAAGTCTTTGCTTCTGTAACAACTATGGGATTCTGAGGTTTCC